ACAACAAAATCCCACTCTTAGACGTCTTAATCAGGAGCACTAACACAGGAAATTTAAAAACACGAGTTTGTAAAACGTCAACGTACACTGAGCAAATACTCAACTCTAATAGTAATAACCCCATTACCCACAAAAGAAACTGTGTGCAGACATTGTTTAAAAGAGTTCAAACACACTATAGCACCACTCCGGTGTTGAAGAGAATGAAGGAAATATACCTACTAACCGTCTTAAAAAAGTGGATATCTAATAATAATAATAATAATTTGCTTTATTCCAGAACAGTACTTGTGATACATAATGGAATTCTCAGTATGTTTTTTACTACAGTATTGCATCCAGTTAGTACATTATCAATAAATAAAATTCTACATAGATTAAGGAAATCTCAGTTCATTATGACAACAACATATTGGCATGTCGGTAGCAAAGCCAAAGTTGAACAGTGTTTGAAGGTGTTAGAAAAGTAGGTGCTATCATATTTACTGGCGTAAGCAGAAGAAAGAAACAAAGCAGCACATAACGGAAAAAAAGGAAAAGAGAGACAGAAAAGGAAAAGAAAGAAAGAAAATGTTGTATCTATAAATGATATGAGTTGGAAAGACGAGGTCTAGTTGTTCTACTGACTATTTAATGAATCATAGGTGTCACGCCTAATGCTTTCTTTATCGCACAGAACACGAGTTAAGTAGGGTATGGTTGAGTTTTTGTACTTGCTGGTGCCAGCATCCTCACAATTTCATCAGAAAGTATTCAAACTCGAGTCATAACACCAACAAGAAACCGTCATCAAAGACTACAAGAAAGTTCATTCTACCGCATCTGTCTCTGAAATAAATGCTAGAATATTAAGACCGTTTGAAACAGATACAGCGCACAAGCCAGCCAGCCAGCACAATCATGTCTTCATTCCATATTGTGCAAACCGAAAGATCCAACAGAAAAATAAAGTAAAATTAATGCCATTTACAAAATAAATTGAATGAACTGCAATCAACATTACATCGGTCAAAGTGAGCTTCCCCTTTAAATCCGAATCGAAGAACACCAATTGGCTGTAAAAGGGCATGATATATGTATTCTTTCATATCAATGCATGTGGATAATTTTGGACACCGATTTGATTGGGATAATACAGAAACTTTAAATAGATGAAACACTGAAAATGCAATCAGGGAATTCCTAGAAGCCTGATACTTAAATGAATCAGCAATTGGTGAAGACATTAATATAGACCCAATTTACCAGCTGATAAAATGTAAATCATATGACAAGAAAGTTCGAATTCCAGGTCAATAAAATGACGAGTAGAGACGGAAATTAACAACCTGGCGGGACAGTGGTCGCCAAGAGATACAATTACGTCATTCATGGAGAAATCAAATAATTTCATTTTATGCTACAAAATAGGCTGAAGATGTTGTCTAGAAGGGAGACGACGGGAGCTTCACAATTAAATCAACCAGCTTGTCAGAGAACAAAACTAATTCAATATGAGTATTTTTCTGCTGTGACGACATAAGACAAGGGTAAGGCAACAGATCGTTTATTGAGAAAATCAACAGATATTTATAGACTTTTATGTACATTATTATTAGCGTTATTGTTAGCAGAGAAGCAGAGTCTTCTCATTGGTTGTTTTCTTGCTCAAGGTTATTCTGTCATCTCTTTGTTTCCATTTCTTAGATAGTCCGTTGATATATCTGCACATCGTATCCGCCCACGCTAAGTCTGCTGTGATTGGTTGTTGATTCCCTCAAGGTTAGGCTTCATTATTGTTTTATCTCGTAACCCTGATTCGGGACGTAAACACTGACGCACATTAGTGTCTACAATTTTGGCTAGCAGACAGCTCTCACCACAGTGCTATTCATCCCAATTAGTCAGTACTTTATGGAGTTATCCAATTATGAAAATAAGAAAAAACAATACAGCGAAGGGCCTCTTTTCGGTGAATTCATTTACTCAGCTGTACAATCGCAGTTATAGATAACACACATTTAAGTCCATAACTAGCAAACAACACCCCATCTCTGTGCCAACGAAGATGCTACACATCAATGTCGCGTTCACAGATGACACCTTTTGACAATACCCTAAAAGTAAAATATCAAACGCCTGGAAAGGATTATTCTTTGCTGCCACATTACGATCGGTATTTTCCTGCAGTCCGAAGTTCTTCAACCACTCTAAAGATAAACTGTCGCATTTGACCAATTCTATGTGTATATACTAATTCTCTTGCGAAGCGAGATATGTTTCGGCGACGTTCGATGCGTATTTTATCTGAAAGAGCCGATAAAACATTATCTCACTTTGTTACATAAAAAGGTAACTGTGGATTAATAAAGCGTACTATCCTTGAACATTTATTCAAAGCTTGTCACTCAGTATGAAAGGAGAATTCATTCTAAGTTATCTATAAAGTCAAAGGAGGCCCCGTAAAAATGGTAAGCTTCTGTATACTTTGTATCATCAAGGCCATAGAGATTCGGAGATAAAACACATAGAAAAAAAGTTCTCCTTTCCCTCCATCTACTTTGAGTATAATTCCAAGTTCAACTCTTATTAGTATTTTGTTATTAATACTATTTTGTGCAGTTTTCATGTCACATTTAGTGTGTTTCAAGAGTTGGTTTTTAAGGATTAGATTTGTTGTTCACGAGTTTGCCCATGGATTGTTATCAGTTGGAGAAACATTGAAAACCAGTCAGGGGGTACTGGACAGTGAGCTGTTTCATCCTAGTACGGGACTCTTCATCAGTACGCACCCACACTGCAGGGCTGGAACCCAGAACCTTTTCATTACAAGGCGAGCTAGCTGGTAGACCATTAAGCCATTGGGACCCACCAATCCAATGGCCAGTCCATTAATTCTAACTTCTGCCAATTCACGACTTAACGCCTTTCTGGACACTTTCATATAACGTATTCCTAGTCAAAACTTACACATCTTCATGCCTACCCTAGTTAAAGTTTGATTATTCACCACAATTTTGAAATATTCTGATGACTCAAACAGTTACCAAAATGAACTTTTATTCTTATATGTGTAAAACTTGGGCATTGTGGTAGTAATTCCATATTAGTTTGTTTATTAGATATATCACACAGTGAAACAGTATTATTTACTGGATGACACAGTTTCGAACAAAATTTATTGTTCATAATCATATCAATTGTAATCAAACGACATTGAAACTTGAGTTTTCTGGTTTTCTTTGTTTTCTCCTATTTGTCGTAGGGGAAGTAGAATTTTCCAGATATCTGGGTGGACAGGTGATGAATCATTCCTATTACATGTATTTGCAGTTCATTCGATAAACAAAGCTTCCGTTATCAATCTCTCCCTCTAGCCTGTTACATTAGATTTTAAAACTGTCATCTTATCCCATCCTAAAGTATGGTTGGTTGTGTGTAATTACATGTGGTGAGTGCTATAGCTGAAGTACTCTCTAGATTTCTTATCTTATTTGGATCAACCAATCTAGATTTTGCAAAGTTTTATGTTCGGCTAGTCTGACTGCCCCCGTTCTATTAGTTTGACCTATGTATTTGACCTGCAATCATTGTAGGGTATTAGATAAACTAAATTGTTTTGTTTTAAAGGCTTCACAGGATCTTTTAACCGACAAAGCTTGTTTCTAACTGAGTTTGTGGGTTTGAATGCCATTTTTATTCCTGCCTTGTTAAGAATTCTGCGTAAGGCTTCTGAGGTTCCTTCCTTGTATGGAATTACTACTGATGATTTAGATTCCTTATTGTTGGTGTCGTCATTAATATTATTATTATTACTACTATCATTATTTATTTTATTTTTACATTTCCCTACATATTTCCTGATTAATTTATCAGGGCAATTATTAAGTTTCAAAGCT